GCTGCTGCTGCTGCTGCTGCTGCTGCTGCTGCTGCTGCTGCTGCATGCAGTGGAGGAGAAGGAAACTCTGTTACTGTTGCTTCTGTTAAAGCCCCACAGTTCAGAGCTGTTGCTGAACGCATGCGGCAGTTGCTCGCGGCTTGAGCCGGAGTGGGGCTTTCATATAATGCATGCATGCATGCATGTGGGTGCATGCATGCATGTGCATGCATGCATGTTGGTGCATGCATGCATGTTGGTGCATGCATGCATGTGGGTGCATGCATGCATGTGAGTGCATGCATGCATGCGGGAGGTGTATGTCTGCATGCATGCATGCGGGCTTTGCATGCATGCACTGCATGCATGCATGCATGCATGCACTGTATACATGCATGCATGCATGCACTGCATGCATGCATGCATGCATGCATGCAGCACGCTTGGAAAGGGATGAGGGTTCAGTTTGGTTGAGAATGAAGACGACAGGATGTCTGCCTCTTTTGTTTTATTTCTTTGGATACCTCTTCGTACTCTACAAACCCTAAACCCTAAAACCCTAAACCCTAAAACCCTAAACCCTAAACCCTAGCACAGCGAGAGATATATATTAAAGTGCAGAAACGGAGGCAGTAACCCTAAACCCTAAACAACACAACCCAGTTCATCTAAACCCTAAACCCTAAAGAGCAAGAACAGAGGCGTCAAAACCCTAAACCCTAAACACCAAGAGCAGAGCCACTAGCCGTAAACCCTAAACCCTAAAAGGAAAAAGTAAGATGATGCGATACACAAATTTGGTTGTTTGTTTCCTGGTGGTTTCTGCACCCCTAAACCCTAAACCCTAAACACCCTCGACTCCTAAACCCTATAAACCCTAAACCCTAGATATACTAAACCCTCCAGCATCACTGTTCCCGCATGAAGAGAGACGTGAGAAGGCCTTGAACAGCTGAAACCCTAAACCCTAAACCCTAAACCCTTGACGAGCGGTGGAACGAGGGTTTAGAGCTCCCGGGGTATTAGGGTTTAGGGTTTAGTGAGGGCCCCGCCAAACCCTCGCTTGCATGCAGTGTACATACACCCCGAAACACCGTAAACCCTCCACTGGAGCAATGCATGCATGCACACCCAAACGCCGCTCTAAACCCTAAACCCTAAACCCTAAACCCTAAACCCTAAACCCTAATCTAGGAGTTTTTCATTGTAAAGAATCCCTGTCGCACTGTAAATAGATTTAAGGTTTTTTCTTTGTGCTAGAAAAAACTGTTTTCTGCTGAAACATAAACCCTAAACCCTAAACCCTAAACCCTAAACCCTAAACCCTAGCTGCAGCGACGCTCGCTGGGGGTGACCTTGCAGTTGGTGTGGTAAAGCCCAAAGCTAGGGCCCAAACCCTAAACCCTAAACCCTAAACCCTAACCCT